TTTGAGCATATTGTTAAATTTCCTACTCCTCTAGTTTCTTTGTTGCACAACTTTGATTCGACAGATCTTCCAAATGCTTCGCCATCACCCGTGCAACAACTTCAAACCTACTTCAGAAGACAAGTCTACATCAGCTCCTATGTCCCTTTCGTCTTCTCCAACATCAGTTGTTGATCCAGTTACACCATCCATTCCTGTAAGTTCTCCTAATCCACCACTTGAACCCACTGCACCCACTTTGCGTCGTTCTTCTAGAATTTCCCGCCCTCCTGACCGCTATGGTTATTCCCCAAACCATAGTTCCTTTTCTATTGATTTATCCACCAAAGATATTCCCAAGACTTATCCACAGGCTATAGCAATTCCACATTGGAAAGATGCCATGGACTCTAAGATCCAAGCCCTTCTTGAGAATGACACCCAGGATTTGGTTAAAGCTCCTTCTGAAGCCTCTCTCGTTGGGAACCGCTAGGTTTACTACTAAGTTGAAGTCATATGGAAGTCTAGATAGGTATAAGGCTAGACTTGTTGCTCAAGGCTATAAACAGGAATATGGGAGAGACTACGAGGAAACCTTTGCTCCTGTGCCAAGATGACTACGACCAGACTTCTTTTAGCCATCTCTGCAGTTAAAAACTGGACAATTCATCAGATGGATGTGAAGAATGCATTCCTACATGGTGAATTGAAGAAAATTATTTACATGAAACCACCCCCTGGATATGGTACAGATCCTCAGCTTGTTTGTCGTCTCAAGAAGTCTTTGTATGGCCTGAAACAAGCATCCAGGGCCTGGTTTGAGAGATTCAGATCTGTGATAACTAATGCTGGATTTATCCAAAGTTATTCTGATCATTCAATTTTCACCTTACATCGGAATCAGGGTGTGACTCTTCTTCTCCTATATGTTGATGATATAATCACTATAGTGTATGATGTGGGCCCTTTAACTTACTTCTTGGGACTTGAGGTCAGTCATAATTCCCATGGCTATTTTGTTAGTCAGCATAAGTATGCAATGGATCTTGTCAAAATGACTAATCTCAGTGACTCCAAGACTGTTGATATTCCTTGGAGGTTAATTTGAAACTAAGCAACGATGATGGCTCTCCTCTTGAAGATCCTACTCTTTACCGACAGTTGGTAGGCAGCTTAATATATCTCACGATGACTCGGGCAGATATTATCATATGCAGTCCAGATAGTAAGCCAGTTTGTGTCATCTCCGCAACAACTCCACATGTCTGTAGTCCATCAAATTATTAGGTATCTGAGGGGAACCTTATCACATGGCTTACACTTCTCCTCCTCTTCATCCACCAGCCTTACTGCCTATGCCGATGCTGATTGGGCCGGTTGTCCAAACACTCAACGATCCACTACAGACTAGTGTGTCTTTATTGGTAACTCTCTCATTTCCTAGAAGTGTAAGAAACAATCTAGTTTCAAAATCTTCCACTAAAGCTGAATATAAAGCCACGTCCTTAGTATGTAGTGAAATTATATGGCTCAGAGCTCTTCTACATGACACACTACAGGAGTCACCACCATCAATTACCCTCTTTGCAAACAATGTCAGTGCAATCAAAATTGCTTCCGATCCTGTTTTTCATGAGCGCACAAAGCATAATGAAGTTGATTGCCACTTCATTCACGATCTTCTTCAAGCTAGTACTATTTCTCTTCCCCACATGCCCTCTGGGCTCCAACTTGTTGATCTCCTGACAAAGGCTATGACGCGGGCACAACACTTATTCCTTATGGACAAACTGGTGTTGATTCCTAAGCATCAATTTGAGGGGGAGTGTAGAGATAAGAGAATTATCCGAGGAGGCTATTTTTGTATTTTTACCTCCTACTCAGTGTTTTAAAAGTCGTGCCTCAGGCGCGCCTAGGCGCAGAGGAAAGGCACATTCCAGGCCATGCGCCTCGCCCAAACAAAGGCACATGCACCTCAGGAAAGCGCTCACCTTGGCGCCTAGGTGTGTGCCTTAGGCCAAGCACCAGGCGGCCCAGGCGAGCGCCTTATCAACGTTTTTGAAATTTTGGACTGAGTGTATATTTTTATTTAACAGATAATTGTTAGCATCTATAAAAAGTGTTTTCCTTTTATTTTTTTACACCTATTGCATATCATATAGTAAAGAGGGAGACCGGAGACGAACAGTTTTCTTAGAAAGGCTGGAAGAGGAAGGAAGACAGCAATTGCATGTTCGAACTCCAGGAGGAACAGTTTACACCGAGGAACTGTTTTTCTTCTTCTTCCGGTTCGTTTCTGTTTTTATTTTCCTCTGGTTTGCACCGAAAACAGGGGCACCGCCCCTTCGTCTTCTTCACCGTTTATTTTTTTTTTCCTTTTGTGCTCTCTAGTTTGCGCCAAAAACAGGGGCTCCGCCCCTTCTTCACTATGTTTGCACCAAAAAACAGGGGCTCCGCCCCTTCTTCTTTTTCACTATGTTTGCACCAAAAGACAGGGCTCCGCCCCTTCTTTTTCACTGTGTTTGTACCAAAAAACAGGGATCCGCCCCTTCTTCTTCTTCACTATGTTTACACCAAAAAACAGGGGCTCCGCCCCTTCTTCTTCTTCACTATGTTTGCACCAAAAAACAGGGGCTCCGCCCCTTCTTCTTCTTCACTGTGTTTGTACCAAAAAACAGGGGCTCTGCCCCCTTCTTCTTTTTCACTGTGTTTGCACCAAAAACAGGGGCTCTGCCCCTCCTCCTCCTCCTCCTCCTCCTCCTCCTCTTCCTTCTTCCTTATTGTTCATTGTTTTTTTTTTCCATCACTGTTTTAAACCAAAAACAGGGGCTCCGCCCCCTTCATATTCACTGTGTTTGCACCAAAAACAGGGGCTACGCCCCTTCATCTTCTTCACTGTGTTTGCAGTTTTGCACGAAAAACAGGGCATATTTTTGCAATCATTATGAACAGCAAATATGTCCTAATCTTTTGGAACTAAAATACTAAAATTCTGAATTTTTTTATCAGTAACATTGATTTTTCTAAAAAAGAATAAACAGCAAACAACCTTTTCATAGAACTTTTTATCAGTATTATTCATCAAAAGCAGCAAAGTTAGAGTAATTGATTTCCTATTTCACAAAGCACTGTGGGCTTCACAAGAACATGATTCTTCTTTTAAATAACTTGTTCAGGTGAACAAACATTGAAGTCAGTTAATGGCATTGTTGACTCTTCCAGGTCTTTTTTGTTTGGTTTGGGGAGGGGATGGGGAGGACTATGTACATCTGCAATAACTTGATTTTGCATTTTGCATTAAATAAAAAAAAAAATTAACACAATACTATGTACATCTGCAATAAATTGGGAATATGGGATACAAGAACAAAAAATAAGTATTGTTTTTGTATTTTTTCTGATTTTTTTTTAATTTTTATGTATTTTTTCAATTTTTTTACATTTCCTGAAAATTTTGTGCGCCTTTTTGTAAAAGGTGCGCGCTTCGCCTTGCGCCTCAGGCCCAAATTGGCCCCTGCGCCTTTTTTGCACCTTGCGCTTTTAAAACACTGCTCCTACTATATTTTATTTTATCTTGTACACTATTTCTTCTCTTGTACACTAAGGACAATTTGGTCCTTTTACAGTTTAATATAAATATCTTTCTTAGGGTGTCAATCTCTCCATTAGACACACCCACAAATCTGTTGCTAACAATATCTTTCCTGGGTTTATAGACTTAGATCAACTCTGACAATAACTGTTGTTTTCAGCTTTCCGCCTACAGCCTGGGGTGGATTCGAGCCAAGTAGAATATCTGGCTATTTGAGCTCCCCTCGCCTAAAACTATGAGGCTTGAGCTCGAATTTGACTCGACTCAAAAGCTTCTAAGTTTGAGCTCAGCTCGGCTCAAGCTCGACTATGAGCCAAACTCCCTATAAAAATAAAAAATATACATATAAAATAGTAATTATTATAAAAACAAGTTATTATTATATACAATATTTTTATTATATATATATATATTATTTTTATATGTATAATATTTTTCCATTTATTATATTTTATATGTATAATAAATATATGTGTGTGTAAAAGCTCAATTAGGCTCGCGAGCCTCACGAACCAAGCTTTATCAAGTTCGAGCTCATCTCGATTAGCAAACGAGCCTATATATTGGGTTCGAGTTCAGCTTGAAACTCAATTTAGACCGAGCCGAATCGAGCTTTTCACGAGCCGAGCTCGAATAGCTCGTGAAAATCTCGATTCGTGTCCACCCCTACCTACAGCTATAAATGTTCTTTTGTCCTAGCAAGTACCATGTTTCCTTCATCACTATCAGCAGACCTACTTATTTCAAGCCAAGGGCTGGATTCCTCCTGCTGCTGCTGTGCAGAGTTCATCTCCCTTACCAGTTCCAGCTCAAAGGTTGGTTGAACTGGTAGTGCCATCATCAAAATCAAAGACAAAAGAATCACACAAGCAGAGGAAAAGTACTTGGGAATTATTGCCTGCAACAGGTCCACCAAACTCCATGGGTTGTCCCATAGCTGGGGTGATAGATGGGAAATTCAAGCATTACTATCTTGTTATTGTTACAACTGGCACGCAGAAGTTAAAAGGTGTTCTATACTACTGACCACCCAGATGGCCAAATGCCTCAATACTCCAAATTTTTTGGGAACAATACTGGCAAAGTGGCAAGGAAACTACAGATCCATACCATCAGCATAGGCAGAAAAAATCTGAGTTGAGAAAGTAAGATCCTGCCCACCCTAAGCCTAACCGAAGTGGTTACAATTTCTTCTTTGCTGAGCAGCACGCCAGATTCAAACCACTCCACCCAAGGAAGAGAAATCAGGGGAAAAATAGTCAATGACAAACCAATCAATCAAGATGTTAAAGATAGAAGAATGATGTGATATTATTTGTTAGTACTAAACAGGAACAAAATGAAATAAAAAATGAAAAGAAGACATTTTCAACATATAGAAGCATTATATAATATTAGTTGCATAAAGAATGCAGAAATACTAATATACCACCAAAAAAAAGTTGTCTGCTTCTTTTCCTTGGACCCTGAGGAGAGAATCTCCCAATTTTAGCATCTGTAACTTCATTTTCGACTTTTCCTTTGGCAGTACTCAAGGTAAGCCCTTCTTCAGTGCCACTACATGCTTCCCTAACATCATCAAAATGGTTGGTCTCAACTTCTTCAAATTTCGGTTTCTTTCCATGAAACCTCTTCCTCTTCCGTTGAATTTCTACTGTACCAACACCTTCTGTGTCCATCAAATAACCTGAATCTTTGGCAAAGTCTCTGTTTTCAGCTTCCCTGCTTCCTAAACTACCTTCCAAACCATCTTCATCCATTGCAGCACCAGTGAGCTTGGCACTAGTCATCTCTGAATCAGCATGCTAAGATTGATGAACAAGTTACATATAAGTTTGTTATATCTTTTAGATACTAACACAAAAAAGCAACTTAAGATAGAAGTGATTACCATCCTTTCACCATTATGAACAGATGAAGGACCCGTTGATTCTGCTGTCCTGTTTGGTGTATGAGAAACATGAGGAGATCCCCCTTTTTGTGAAGCCTCTGCCAATGCTAATGCTACCTCATGGGCAACTTCATCATCATAAGCATCTACATCTAGCTTCATACCTGGTTTATTTGATGATAAATACCTTTCCCTGTCCTTACCAAATGAATATAAAACAGGGAAGCGAGGTGTTCTTTTTCCAACAGCATGAGGTCGGCTACCTACCAAAAACAAAGAGCACAACTCATAAACGGCAAGCTTCAAATTCCCTATATTTCCACTATTGTTGCTTTAAAAATAACAAGAATGCTTTATGAAATATGTTACACTTTGTCATCATTTCTAGTTGACAGGAGGGAAGGAACCAAATATGTGACAAATCATGCCAAGGTTTGCCATTTAGTAACAAAATAATGAGAATCTTCTGTCTCTGTGTCGATGGTTTGGGGTTCTAGACTACAAAAAGATTAATATTTTTGTAGGATAGAGCTCCCCAATATTAGGCATTTATGGGCATGTATTGTGCATCGAATCTATTATGAGGATCTATTAATGCTTTGTATAGCTAGAAATTTATTTATTTATGTTATTTAAGACCCTATATTGAGTTTATTTTAATCATATGTTGGATAAAGAACAATTGTGTGTGGATTATTTGACTTTCAAGTCAAACTTGATTACATAATATAACTTATCTATACTACTATAAAGTGGATATTTTCCTTGGTTTTGGTGCAGGTCGTAAAAGTTAAATTTGAGTGCATAATGTCAATTTATATCAATACATTTACTTGCACGCATGCATAGCACATGCCCTTACACTAGTATTGTATAAATGGTAATTCCTATTGGCTTAGGTATAGATTTTTTTTTTTTTTTACCAATAACTGAAAGGATTTCATTAAGAAAAATTAATCAAATGGGGAGGGGAGAAAAACTCTCTTAGCTCCCACCCCCAAAAAATGGAAAAACATTACAGCATAGCCCAGAATAAATCATTTCTTTTTTTTTGATAAATAAAGTAAAGAATAAATCATTTCTTCCCACCCCTTTCTTAGCCCAAAATGAAATAACCAATCCCAAATACATTTAGCAAATTGACAAGATATTAAGAAGTGGTAAACTAATCCCAAATACTCTATTATGGTCCCATTTGGAAAGAGATTTGTTGACAGCAGAAATTTCAGCCCTTCTACAAGGACTAAAGTTAGCAAGGCAGATGAATCTGAAACAGATAGAGGTTGAAGGTGACTCCATGCTGCTGGTGGGTTGGATGGTAAACAAAAGTGATGGCCTGTACCCTGTGGGCATTCAGACAGGTAATAAGGGAAATAAGGAAGCTAGCAGGTGAGGTTGAGGCTACCCTCAACTTCCAATGGGTTAACAGGACAGCAAATGCATTGAAAGACACCTTAGCAAAGCAAGGGCTGACTAGGGAGCAACTATTTTGAGCCAACTTGTATTCATAACCCTTATGTGGGATAGGCTTGGACTGTAAGCTTGTAATATTACTAAATTTTCTTAATTAATACAATTTTCCGTTTATCTATTAAAAAATGTTTATTGTCTTAGGAAATAATGAAGTAACAAAGTGAAAGTTAAATTTCATACATACACAAACTAGTGTTGCATGGGCAGACATGGGAGTTGAAATCCGACACGTATCCAAGAGCCTGATTCAGTGATATGAGAGAACATGGACTCATGGAGACATGGAAAAGAATGTAGTGTCATACAACCAGTTCGTACAAGAGAAGAAAACACAGTTCTAGGGTTTAAAACTTAATCCATCGACTCCACCCTAAGAACCAGCAATTATATATATGAAATATTAGATATTTACAAAGAAGTCCTTATAGGACTAAATAGGAAAATAAAGATTTACATAAAAGCCCTCATAGGAAATAAACAAGGAAAATACAGTACAGCAGGGACTACAAAGTATGATACATCAATGGGACTCTTCACATCCCCCTCAAACTGATGCAAAGGCATTAGCATTTGCTCACAAGGAATAAATGTTTGGATCTAGTCATGGCCTCGGTGAAGATATCAGCAACCTGCACATCGGAGGCAACACAAGGGAGAGAGATAGAGCCAGCAAGAAACAAGTCTCTGATAAAGTGGCAATCCGAACTTCTTCATTTAAGATCCAAGTGCGCACTCAGACCCTTGCCTGGAAACCAGCTTTAAACATTGGATAAGGGGGGTCTCAGGAGGAGGCAGGTAAAATTAAAGGCCGGATGGAGTTCGTGCAGGCAGGTCAGTGGAGGAGATCCTTGAAGATAGAAGCAAAAAATCTCTTGTTCGAAGAGATGAGAATCAAGGGGAAGGTAAGCCTGAAGGTAAGGGAAGCGAAAAAGGGTACAATATTGCTGGAAGGATTAGAAGTGATCGAGTGGCT